TGTGCCATGCAACACGGATGCCCTGCATACATCAGGCACCCGTCAGCCCATGAGGAAGAAAGGCAGGGAGAGAGAAAGGGAAGGAGGGAGGAGGGGACAGAGGGCAACCTGCCGCCGGGACACTGAAAGCTTCACCAGATTCTAACCCAGAGGAGGCTGTTGTGGAGAAGAGTGAGGCCGTAAGGAAAAGGACAGACAAGCATTTACAAAAACGTTTTCTTGCATGTCTTAGCCACGGGTCCACCTTCCTGCCCTAGACCCTGGGTTGGAGCTGCAGCTGCACTCGGACCACTCTGATCCTGGATCCCCGTGGGCCCTGCTCCGCCCTTGACAGGGCATGTTGCTTAGAGACCCGGAAAGCTTTCTCCCTACCTTTGTTGCCTGGTGAGCGTGGGTACCTGGCAGCCCGATGAGAGCCAGGGCTGGAGCCTGAGCAGCTGGGCTCCTGGGGGGTTTGCTCCCAGAGACAGGGTAGGGTGGGTGACCTTAGCCACCACTTGCTCGGGCAGCCTGTTTCAGGCACATGTGACAGGGAGGTGGTGGAAAACTGAGTGTTGTGCCCGGCTGGAGAAGCTGAGCACAAGGGGTGGACGGCTCGTGGAGTCTTTGGGTGGAAGGAAAACGGGAGCAAAGCAGAGGTGAGAATGTGCACACTGAGCTCAGGCAGTGTCCAGGAAGCCCGTTCTGCCACAGCTGGGAGGCACAGAGGTGTGGGGAGGAGGCAGCTGCTGTGCAGGTGAGCAGAGTGCAGGGCCTCCAGAGAGCGAGCGTGTCAGGCTGCACCTGGAAGCCAGTGGCCATGAATTGTTTTTAGGCACAGTGAAGCAATGGTGAATGGTTTACTCAGAGGAGATGGAGAGGGGCAGCTTAGGAAGACGCCAGGCAGTGACAGCAGTGCGGAGGGCACTGCAGAGGGCAGCACCCCCCTCAGTAGGACAGCTCCTCTCCCTGTGTGCACACAGGGTTCACCCAGGTGCGCAGACGGAGGGGACAGCAGCAGCCTTTCACCTCCTGATGCTCAGTGCTGGCCTGGCCCTCTGGCCCTCCCCCTGCACCCCCTCCATCCAATTCCGACACGGCTGGGGCACTTGCTGCAAGGACAGTCACGCAGGGTTATTTATATCTGCAGCTGCACGGCCGGGCCCTTTGTCTGCAGGACCGTGTTTGGTGGGGAGCAGGGCCACACCCCACCTTCTGGGCCAAGCCCTGGTGCCAGCCAGCCGACAAGGCCTCCATGAGCTCCTGTTGACAGAGGGCCCAAGAGGTTGCAAGGTCTCCCCTGGCTTGGCAGGAAACCCCCGTGGCTGAACAGCCCTCTGGTCCTAAGGCCCTTAGAAGCCCTCACAGCCTGAATGCCTCCTTCCTTTAGTACATGGTTATTTTCAATCCCTTACACAGCCTACACTTCTTACTGCCATTCTAAGTCTCCTCATTTCATGTAGTCTTGGGGGTGGAGGTGGCTAACTCTCCAAACTTATAGTGGCAAGTCCTGATCAGTTAACTATGAAGATCCATCAACTTATGGGGCTCATGTGCAGTAGATTTGATAGTGCCTACTAATGTTGGATACTGGCCTATACTATGTTGTTGACTAAATCAGTCTCAGAATGACAGAGAAAACTCTCAGGAGGCTAAAGCAGGAGGATGGTGAGTTCCATGCCAGCCTAAACTACATAGAAGTTCAAGGCAGCCTGGGCTACATAGCAAGGCACTGTCTCAAAAACCAATAGGGGCTGGGGATTTAGCTCAGTGGCACTGCGCCTGCCTTTCAAGCGCAAGGCCCTGAGTTCAATCTCTGGCTTGGGGGGAATGGGGGCAATGACAGAAGAAAAGACAGAGAAGCTCTGGAGTGGCTACACTAGGGACACTTTTCCTATTTCTTCTGGCTCCAGGAAGGGAAGACAGGTGTGAAAATTCCTTTGGGGTCTAAGGATTTTGTTCTCAGATGACCTGGAACGTCCTTCTTAGAGGAAGGGCTGACCTGCAATGTCACTGCATTGTGAGGCTTGTGTTTGTCCTGGCCGCTCAGACCCCACTGCCCGCCCCACACTGAGGAAGGTGACAATGCTTGGGGACACCTACCAGGCACCAGGCTCGGTGCATGTTGTTACATTTCCTCTTCAACAGTGCAAGGACTGGCCCCTCTTACAGATGAAGTCACGGCTCAGAGATGTGACAAGTGGAGATGCAGAGCAGAGCCAGGAGGCTGACGAGGGCCAAGGGGCACTGGAGGGAGCTGCTGTTCCCATGAACAGGACACTGTGACATTAGCCGCCATTGTCCACATCTAACCGCGCGGCCGACTGCACAACGCTGGCTGACGCTGATCGTGGAGGGGCGTGTGGGTGTCTGGTGGGAGCAATCAGGGCGAGGGGTCTCCTGGAGGGCCCAGAGGGGACGCTTGTTCCCAGGAAGAGCTGGGGTCAGGAGAGACGCGGATTCTGTTTCCTGCCTCACCCAAATAGCACCGAAGCAGGCCTGAGCTGCGGTGAGAGCGTTGGGTTGGACAGGAAAGGCAGGGTGCGCTGTTCTGCAAGGCTCCTCACACCGAGGGAGCAACAGCCGCTCCGCCCAGGGCAGGCGCCGGGACAGACACCTCCACCCCACCCCCTTCCACTGGAGGCGGGATCAGCCACCACGGAGGCGCTGGCCCCCGCGGCAGATGGCGTGGCTGTGGACCCGGGGACCTCGCGATCACTGCGATCACTGCGACTCCCAGGGCCTGGTGCCTGGCACGAGTCCCATGAACACTTGGTGAGCAAATTCCGGACTGACTGCGGCCTTGGTGGCCTGCCTTTGGCACAGATCCAGAAACTGTCCACGTTCAGACTCCTGCCCCCAAAACGCTGCTGAGCCTGAGCGAGCTGCAGGGCCTGTGATGTCCGCGGAGCAGCCTCAGAGTTCAAGAGCATAAAGTGCTTCCTGTCAGCCTGGGCACTGAGGGGAGAGCTCAGGACGGCCCGGGCCTCTCCTGCCCTCAAGGGTTCTCAAGGGGTCCCCAGGCGCTCCTCCCTGAGAGCCTCCCAGGGGACCTCATGACCACCAAGCAGAGGCCTGCAAGCTTGGTCACTTCTCCCTAATGCCCTGGTACCCTGGAATGTGACCCTGGGCTGAGTCACCCAGCAGGTGACAAAGCAGTAATACCTGAATCAGGAGAAAATATCTGAGGGTAAGCTCCCATGTCCTGGAGGTTATTTACTGTACTTCAGGGTGTGTCTCCTCCAGATGCCTTTTCCCCACTGGCCTGCAAGTAGCAGGCATCCAGTTGTCTCTGATTACGTCAGGAGGTCAAGAAGGGACACGCAAATTCCAAGTGCTGTGAAAGGACAAATCCCGAACGATGGCTAGTTTTCTAAATACCTATCATCCTCCCTGACTGCTACACACAAGGGGATAGTATTAAAAATTTCAAAACTGAAAAGAAGAAAAACAAAGTAATTTTTTAAATGGCATACTTTTGTGCTTTGTCAACTGCTTGTATAAAGCCCTGGTAATGCTCTCTAAAAATAGAGATCCTTTTCTGTCAAATGTGCTCACAGCCTTGATGGCTTCCCGTTTCTTTGGTCTCCCCCCAGTGGCAGCAGAGCTCACATGTGGGGCTTGCAGCTGGGGCATCTGCATTTCTCCAGGGCCCCTCCTGTCACATGGGAGCTCCCGTAGCTGGTGGTGGGGATGGGAGAGAAACTGAGGGAGGCATCAGTGATTCTGATCACTCTGCTCAGCTCATTCTATGCCACCAGGGGAGGTGACACAAAGCCTCACGGCGCCACTGCGCCCACTGGTGGTGGGGGCTGGCAGCGCAGGCAGCCCGGCCTGTCTCCACCTGCCCGGGCTCAGGAAACAGGAGAGCTGGACCCCGGCATCGTCTCAGAATTCCTCAGACTGATTTAGGCCGCACGCCCGGCCTTGATCACTTGAGTCACTGCCACAATAAGCTTCACCAAAACTCACAAACAAAACCTACGAGGAAACCAAAGACAGCTTTGGTTTGAAGTAGAGCTTTCTCCTCTACGAACCACCGTCCCTGAAACCATCCCAACCTCAGCGGGCATTCGGTGGACGCTCATCTTCTCATTCTCCTGACTCATCCGGTGTGAGCCCGCCTTCATAATTTACTAAAACAAAAACAAACTACTGGACACAACAATAAAATGGTTTTTAGTCTTGGTCTGACAGCAAGGTGTACAAAGGCTGGGCTGGAGACAGGACCTGTGAGCAAAACATTCCTCAAACTTATTCTACCGGCTTCCGATCTTTAACCAGACCTAATTAACAAAGGAGATGATTATACCTTGCACAACAAACTTGGCTGTGTAGGAGAGAACTGCTCTAGGGGAGATTAGCAAACACAAAAGCAGGAGGATAAAGGGAAAGATGCAGACTGAAAAGTTTTCTATAGATTTTTTTTTAAAAAGTATATTTACCATACTTAGCATTTTTTATTAAAATATGCAATCAATGGTTCCAGATCTAGGGTGTTAAGGAGAAAAATATGACTTCTGGTTTCAATCCCAATTACAATTCAAAATTCAGTTGCTTAGCACTTTAGACCGAGCCAATAAAATAGTCTACAGTGTTAAAGGCCTGTGGTCCTGGGCAAGGAATGGAAGAGATTACAGCCTCCAGCTGTAGTGCTGCTTGTAGGTTAACCCGACTTCTGGACTGCAGTGTCCTGTCATACTCCATGCTGTGACTGACGGAGGTAAATCCTAGGCAGCACCATGGAAAGAGCAGGCTTTTGTGCAGTGACACAGCAGTGTACAACCAGAAGCAAAGCAAGTGCACAAATGCTAAGTAACTTTGTCTTTGACACACTATTCCATGTGTTAAAGAATCCCAACACACACTTCCCTCATCTACTGGCCTACTGTGTCTTGGTAGTAGTGAGACCTCATTTCATTTTTCATTCCGTGCACTGTCTAGTTCTACAAGCAGTAGTTACTTGAGGCTATTTAAATTTAACTGAATTAAAAATAAATGAGTCAGTTTTCCTGTCATGCTAGCCATATTTTAAGTACTGAGTGGCTATATGTGGCTGATGGGTACAGCAGACTGACAGTTTGGAGTTAAGAGAACATTTTTAGGATGACAGAGAATTCTATTGGCCAGTGCTGCCTATACTGTACATACTAAGAGGCAGGACACTTTATTCTCAATATTCAGTGGGCAGATACTGGCACAGGAATGTAAAGTAGCCTAAGGACCTATGACAAGTGAGTCTTAGAAACAGAATTTCAACTGACCTCACTGGGCCCTAACCTGCAGATCTTGTTTGGTTTGTCCTTCTCTGGACCGTGCCTCAATGTGAAGAGTGACTTACACAATGCAGAGGTGCAAATTCCCTGCCGCCTTGGGTAGTGAGCTGTCCGGGTCACAGCAGATCTCTTACTGTTAAGTAGGAAGACAACAGTACCTGATTTCTAAATAGTACACTATTGGAGGCAATCAGCAGAAAGCAGTTCACCTAGTTTTCTATGTTTCTCTTTAAACATTTCAATGATTTACAAAACTGCAGTAGCCAAATATTACATTTTGGTTAGGTCAACATTAAGTTATCTTATTTTTCATCAAGTCTAGCATTACACGACTCATCAGGAGAAACCAAGCCAGTCAAAGGGAAAGACCTGCTCCCTTTAACTTAGAACATTAAATACTAAATGTGATGGCCAGGGATGTGGCGTGCAAGGCTGAGTTTGATCCTCTGTACTAAAAAAAAAAAGAGAGAGAGAGATATTAAATATGAGTGACGTTTTCACTTTTGGAAGCAGTGTCTATATGCACACACACTGGAATAAACAGCATCGTTAATCTCCAATTTTTCTTTGTTAACTGCTAGCTGCCCTTTGGGCAAATTAAGATTGCTTCAGCACAGGAGGACACGAGAGCAGTGGCTGAAGTAATGCAGCAGCAGGATGTTCCGACCCTGTAGGGCTGCAGACCCTCGGGACCCAGGGCTGGGACACGGCAGACACTTCCGAGCCCAAGCGCGGGAGGACTCAGCTTCTGCAGCCATGGATGAAGCCGCACTGACCCGAGAGAGCTCCCTAGTGCCCTGTTCATATTCCCATCTGTGTCAGACAGCACATGATGCGTTGTTCTGGCAGAGCAGCAGTCACATTTACTAGCTCCATGATCCCAATGGGTGACTACTCTTGAAAGAAGCAGCAGCTCAGCAACAGAAAAACAATAAAACAACAAAACTTAAATATGAGATAAAGGACTCGGTTTAGGAAAAAACAAGAAAAAGAATCTTTCTGGCTAGGAACTTAAATTATTTCTCAATGTAAAATTTTAAAAATTTTTAAGGAGGGGAAAAAAGCCCACCATTTTCCAGGATGTTACATTACAGAAATCAATGTAAGCTTCATAACCCACATCAGAAGGCAAACTGTCTCTGCCTCTTGGATGGAGCCTGGAGTCTGCAGGTCAGAAGCGCGTGTAGGCATTTCGCTGCTGCTGCTGCTGCTGCTGCTGCAATGGCTGGTGGGCCTGCTGCTGCTGTAGGCGGATCTGCTGGGAATAGGGGTCTTCCAGGGACTTCACGAATATGGTAGTTCTAGGGCCCGTCTTCCATACGATACCATTAGCATCCTTCACTGAGGACTCCACTGTGATGTTGTGCGTTCCGAGGATGGCAAAGTTCAACAGAAACTGTGTGCTGAAGTAATCGTTATGAGGCTCAACCCTCTGCTCCATCTCATTGGTCATGTTGTCAAGGGGTATCTGGAATGAAAGAATTGTTAAATACCAGTAACAGCTACATTTAGTCTGCGCTTACGAGCCAGGCCCTGTTCGGAGTGCTAGGTACCATTACTGTTCTTTTCAGTGAGGAGGCTGGGGCAGGAAGGGAACGCAGGTCCTCCGGTCACAGGTTAATGAGTGGCAGAGCTGGAATGTGAACTCGGTAGCTGACTCCAGAGCTGCCTCTCACTCTCCAAGAGGAAGAGCCTTCTTCACCCCTCACAGGCCGCCCCTCTCCTGTGATGTCCCCACCCCTTCTCCAAAGCTATTTACGGGTGTGCTTGTGTGGTGCAATTGTATTTAGCGGTGCCTGCAGCTTTGTGGCTTTATGAGCAATTATCCTGGGGTCAGTTTTCCAGATGCATTTCCTTATAAGATTATTGAAGTCATCAATCAATTCAAGATCTTAGAGCTATTGATGGTATGGGTACTTTTTTCTTTTCACATCCAGCTTTTCTGGGTTTTTCTTTCCCGGAAAACAGGACCACCAAAGAACTGCCTTAAAAGGACCAGAACAGGCATGGGCAGTCTGATTAACCTGAGTGGATGGTTGCGTTCTGAGTGGAAGCTCAGTACCATTAACACTGCAAAGTCCCGATGCACTGCACAGCCACGGGGCCAGCTTCCTGCCTTTACTCGCTTCCTTCTGAGAGGTAAGTCAACAAGCAATGCGCCTAGGGTTGAGTAGCTTTTCTCTTAACAGAGGAGATTATTATATACAAGGAACAAAGAGATTCATGGTTATTGTCATTTCAAATTCAAAATTAGGAGAAAGTTGCAAAATGGGACACACCACACAAATTCTTATTACAATATTCTGTGACATCTGAGATTACTCAACCCTGACAGCTGTGCTTCACAGTCCACAGTCCACAGCTTTCAACACTCGCCAAATATTTACTGAGTAGCTACGTAAGGCACCGTGCTTGGGCCACAATCAAAAGAGGAAGAGATGAGAACTAAGGTGGAGCCTTGTCACAGAGCAGATAGAGCCCCGCACAGAAGTCCAAAGACGGCAGCCAAGATGGCTTAAAGCAGTCTTTTCCTGGGCTTCTCAGCCTGAAACCGCTGAAAAAAACTGAAATTCTGACTTTTTATATCTTCACTGATAACCCTCCTCCTTACCATGAGCTATTAGTTCAGACAATGTCACAAAAGCCTGGACACAGACACTCTGGGCATCTGAACAGCTTTGCCAGTACAAGTGCGAACTTGTTCTCTTATTGTGGATAAACCACCAAGGAACTGGAGAGAGGTGTCTAAAAAGGGAACACTGGTATTTCATGGGCACATGTCACCACCCTCCATCCAGCTGACAATATAAATTTGATTTTGGGTCATACCTACTTCTGGACTTCTCGAGAAAGAAGCCTTCAGGGACGGTTTTACTTTATCTGACCACCATATGTGAATGATACACACACAGAGCACTCCTCTAGTGGAGGGAGTTTTCAGTAGTTTAAACTAAACTGGCCTTGGGCGGGGGGTGTCTTACTGATGGCTAAGTTTCAGGGCAGGGATCGGCCTGGGGAGCTGGGCACCCCCTTCTCTGGCCGTGAGAGCACTCCTCCCCGACACGAGGCTCCAAGGGAAGCTCCCTCCTGTGCACTGGATGATGCTGGGCTGGAAAACATAGTCAGAGGCACCGGTTAGGAAATCCTAGCTGCCAGGCACCTGAGTTAGGTTTCCCCACAGCTCAAACAGCAATCAAACTCCTATTCTGATCTCTGCCTGGATGCTGTGTCTATTAACTGGTTCAGGCAGGAAAAAGAAGTGTTAACAGCCTCCTCAGATCTCAATATGTGCATGTAATTTATGTCACTGCAATCAGCTTAACCAGGAAAAACAACAGAAAACGTCCATCACAATTCTGCCTCTCTGCTCAATCACCTTGTAGTCTTGTCCAGATTTACTCTGGAGGGTGGAAGAAACATTCAGGCAGACAGACTGGATTTTGCGGAAGAGTCCTGGTTTCGATCCATGCTGAACCACTCCCTCCACCTTCAGCGCCAGCTGCTGGTTATTTTGGACAGCAATGGGCTCTGCAGGGTTCCGGGGGGAAGGCGACAGAGCAAGCTGGAATGCAAACACTTAGATAAATGCCGACAGCCCCGGGCAGCTTCCTTCTCACAAACCTGTGCGAATCACTGGCACAGACTGACACGTTCACGTGTATGACCCTTTCCACCAGGCCCTGACCGTGGGCACACCAGGCAGAAGCAGCTTCAGGGCCAAGTTTCCTTCTCCTGAAGGCCTCCTTTAAGTACCCCTGCACTTTCCTCCCAGACGTTGGCTTTAAGGGGAACAAAGGACAGAAAACAGTAAAGGCACTGCTTGCCAGCTTGTGGTGGGCCGCCGTGGTTTTGACAGTGAACCACTTCCAGGAGGGAGAGGCACTGTGTACATTTTCACGTCCAGAAACTGTCTCTTCGCACTTACGTAATTTACTAAATTTAAATGGAAACAAATGGAAATTCTAGGATTCTTTATACAATGAAGTCATTATGATATAAAAACTCCACAAATGAACCAAATAACTGTTCTTTTCTAGTGCTGGGGATTGAACTCAGAGCTCCGTGTATGCTAATCAAATACCATTTAAACTTTCCTTAGTTCTTCTTTAAAAAGCTATTAAAAATCCCAGACATACTTCAATTACAGAAAGCTCAAGCCTTGCTAAGTGAAAAGAAGGAAGAAACTGGAGTTTCCTAATAATGTTGAACTGTGAAACTAGTCAACCCTGGAGACTTCTGGGCTCTAGGCTTCTTGTCTAGATAACCAATTTTCCTGATTATTTAAGTCATTTTGAAATGGAATGCTCTTCTATCTGCAAGCAGAAGCATTTGAGTGGATGCAAAAGTTCACTGCAGGTATTAATTGACAGGGATAATCTAGGAAATATCTCAGAAATGGAAGTATCTTTCCCGCCCCAAAAAATTTTATTATTTGAGTCTGAAATAGCTTTTGAATTTTGAGTGGTTTGAATATTTCAAAATACTAACTATACTCATAGGCCAGTTCCCCAAAACTTGCTATTGAAAGGGAGAAGTGTGCTGAAGGCCAGACTGCTGACATGTTCCTGGCCCTAATTAAGTCTCAGTAGGGTCTGAAAGGGCTGCTCAGTCACACCCTCCTTGAGATCCTGCAGGGCACTATGATAAAAACCACTAATGTCCTCCTGTTGGCAGGAGACAAAGGACAGCCTCCAGGTACCCAGATGCCTGTCTCACTGCACTTGGCACTGACGGTTGAAAAGGGAGAAGGTTTAACTCTGATCCTATTCCATTCACCAAAGCTCTTAAAGGAAAGGAATGCATAAAACTAAAGGTTATAGATTTTTAACAAAACCGAAGTTAAGATTCTGCAGTGTAGCTAGGTCCCATTTAATCTCCAAAAATAGCCAGTTTTTAAAACTGCACTAACCTCAGTATTCTTCCTAACTTACCTTGATGCTGGTAGACTGCAGTTTCTGGAAAAAATATCTCTGGAACGACAGGGGAACTTTCAGCAAAGCAATAATGGCATTGCAGAGGCAAGCTGTATGCTGAGGGGAAGAAAAAAAGAAATCAACTGAAAGTTTCCAGATTTCATCAACAAGTGATGATTAGGACTACAAACTCATATAGATCATTAGGAAAGTACACACCACCAGGAAATAGGCACAACATCCAGGGACTGGGAATATGATTCATGCAAGGAGTACCACTTCAGTGTTTTACTTTATCTTGAACTATATTCATAAGAAATAGGAGAAGGGAGAAAATCCACATTCCTCTCTGGGCAAATTTCACACTTCTGTAGGCTGCAGAGCTACCAGACACATCAGTATATAATTACTACAACAGAGTAACTATCACATGGCAGGGTATGACCAAGAGCCTGGAAAGGCAGCCAGAGCAGCACACAGACAGACACCTGAGCCTGGTGCAGACCCCATGGCAAGGAACCTTGGCTCTGAGCTGGCTTATTCCCTCTCCTCCTCCTCCACTACATTGGTGCTTCTTTGTTGCCCTCTCCATGGGTCCCCACAGAGTGGGCAGCAGGGGAAACTCAGCAGGATTCAGACAGAGGACTATAGTAGCCGGCCTTTACGAAATTCTGAAACTTTAATAAAATACTTTATCTATTTTACACATTTAACTGAGTTTTGAAAACCCCAGCTCAACTGCAGAGATAGAACACAACAGTGAATCCTTTGAGTCTTAGTGAAAGGGGTCATAGAGTTTAAGAGTTCTAAGACATTTTAAAGATTGCCTGGGCTACTTTTCCACTGTGCTGGTGACACAGGCCACACCCCAGAAATCGGACAAGATGGGGCCAGAATCTATGATGCTGGCCTCCTTAGGGATTTTGTTGTTTCACTGGTGATTTACAAACTTAACAGGAAAACCCTAATGCACTGTCAGGACACTTACCCTCGGGTAAATGAGAACTGTTCCTCAGTCCTTTCTGTCTCCATACCCCAAGGCACCACTGCACTACCCAGAAGGCTGCCTGTCCCTCCAAGCTCCTGCTTCTGGGCAGAATGCCACCTAGTTGCCCAGGCTCGAAACACTGGCTGCTTTTTTTAAATGTATATATGTATGTATGCATGCATGCATGTATTTATTTTTTTGAAGACAGGGTCTCGCTATGTAGTTCAGGCTGGCCTCGAACTCCTGGTGATCCTCCTGCCTCAGCATCTCGAGTGCTGGGACTACTGGTGAATGCTACCATGCCCAGCTTAAACATAGCTCTAAAAAGTTGGGCATTAAAGTCAAAAGCCAGAAAAAACTCACTCAGGCAGGTAAACATTTTTTGGCCAACGGACTCAGTATAGATACCAGGTCTGTCACCTGAGATAAGCACAATACAGATTTAAGGGCACTATCTTGTTTCTCCAGCTTTAAGCACTAAGGCAGTACTACCCATCTTCCTGCACTTGTGGGGACATCCTGCCTGGGGCTGGGCCTCTGGTGCCACAACCGTGTCGAAGGAGGGAAACACCTTAAAAGGACAGACAGAAGAGATCACAAATGACTGTGGCCAGTGATGGCGAACCTTTTAGAGCTTTCAATGATACAAACAGTCCAGTGTGGCACATGTGCCATAGGCTCGCCACCACTGCTCTTGGCTCTTTCTCCGGAGAAAGCCACCCTTCTGCCTTTTAAATCAGGAATGGCTGCAGATCTGCAGTGGCCCACTGTGACGCGTGGACTGTCCCCAGGGCTGTCAGTCACTTGCAGACACCTCCACAGGAGCAGTTATTATTAAGCAGCACTCTGAAGATGGCAAACTGCATATCATGATAGTAAAGCAGCAAGACTAATGCTCTTGCTAAATCCAATAGACATTTTTCAGTCTTTGTATGTTCTGACATTTTTGTAGCACCTAGTACACTTTTTCTCCACGAAGTTTTAACAAGCCTGATGGCCATGTATTTCTAATTCTCTTCACCCTCTCTTCCTAAGAGCCTCTGCTGCCCTCAGTCCTCTTCACCCATTGCTGTGTTCTCCACAGGCAGCGCCTGCTCCTCCCAGGACGCTCAGAAGGGCCATGCTCAGGACAGCTTCACTGCAGCCTGGCCCATCTCTTGTCTTCCGACCCAGGCCTCCTTCTTCCCGCTGCCCCCAGGATGGCCCAAGGTCTGCAGGCGAGATCTCCAGCATCTCCCGCTGCCCTGTGTGTCCTGCCTCAGTGAAGCCCAGCCAGCTGAGCGCCCAGGACTCAAGCTGGAGACCTGGAAGTCATGTCTTCAGCCTCATGTCTAACTAAAACACAAAACTAAAGACCAAGCCCTGGAAAAGTGCCCCAACCCCTAAATATCTTCTACAGGTATCCTCTTCTCATTCCTACTGCCATTTTATTAATCTGGCCTTACTCTGGATTACAGTGAAAGCATTTTAACTACTCTTTCTTCTTTTAATTTCACGCCTTCGAAGACATTACACCCATACATACCAATACACAATTGTTTCTTATCTATTTATTTCCCTCACCCATTTAAAATTCCTAGAAGGGGGCTGGGGATTTAGCTCAGTAGTTCTGCTGCGTGCCTCGAAAGCACAGTCCTGAGTTCAATCCTGGGTACCAAAAAAAAAAAAAAAAAAATCCTAGAAGGCTCTCCAGTGCCTTTGGGATAAAGTCCAAACTCCCTAATGCCACGTTAAGGTCTTCTGTTGCCTGCTCTGCTCCCTTCTTTATGCTGATCTCTCCCAAATTCAGAGAAATTCGGAATATGTGGAAGCCCTGTGATGCTTTAGATCTAGGGTGCCCCCAAACTCTCTGTGCTCAGAGGAGGGGGTTTGGGGAGCAGATGGGATCTAGGGGCACTGTACTCATCAGTGGATTCATCCACTAAGAGTTCAGCAGCTTAAAGTGCTGTTGGGAGCTGGGCCTGCTCAGCGGTGGTCACTGGGGCAGCCCAGAAGGCTGTAGCTCCCTCCTGCTCCTCCTTGCACCTGCTGCTTCCTGGCAGTTAAGACAGGAGCAGTTTTCCTCCATGGCAGGGCCTTCTACCATGTGCTTCTGTGTTGGAGCCAGCAAGCCACAGACTGAGATTGATAAAAACCCTGAGCCGACATACACCTCTCCTCCTTTAAGTTCTGGGGACTGGGTATGTTGTTCCAGCTACGAGAAAGTGACTAAGATAGTAGGGGAAGAGAAACTCCCCAAGGAGCCTAACTCAGAGACTAGCTGCTATGGATTCAAGGTCTGTCTCTCTTCACATTCACATGTTGAAGCTCTGACCTCCAATGTGACAGCAGTTGGAGGAGGGCTGCCAAGATGGGTTTAGTGTCCTATAAGTAGAGGAAAAGAGAGCAGAGTGCTGTCTCTCTTCCTGCCACATGAAGGCAGTGCCAGGACATGGCCATCTGCAAGCCAGGGAACCCAATCTGCTTTTTTTTTTTTTTTGGTACCGCGGATCGAACTCGGGTCCTTGTGCTTGCGCAGCAGGCGGCGAAACCACTGAGCTAAATCCCCGGCCCGAAACCCAATCTGCTGACACCTTGATCCTAGACTTCCCAGCCTCCAGAAGTGTGAGACATAAACACCTGATCTTTGACACATTCACCATGGAGCCATAGTTCGTATGTCTCACTGCCAGGTGGCTGATTTGAATGTGTTATATTCCTGCCAGCTTCAACTTCTGGTGGTACACGTCTGACTGTCCCACTGGGTGGTACAGGACAGTCAAGCCAGTAGGATTCAAATCAGAGACAGAATTCAAATCAGAGTCACCTGGCAGCGAGATACACAAATTATAGCCCCATCGAGAATGTGTAAAGCCACCTAGTCTGAGCCGAGACGCTGCAGAATGGTCAGAGCAGGAGGAGAGAAGGTGTGTGAATGTCTGTCCATCTTTTATCTAGGAAGTCAGGGAAGAAGATTCAATAGAGCAAGAGCTCAATAGTTCCAAAGGCAGCAGAGACTAGGTAGGCTAAAGATGGAAAAGAACATACAGTGCAGTTGTCCCTTGACTTATGAACTCAATTAGTTCTTGAGGGCTGAATGTAACTCAAGTTAGTCAACTGAAGGCTCAGGCTCCTCCACACAGCCTTCACAGTCTCTCTCCTGTACACAGGCGGATCTCAGTGTCCTTAGAGAGACACTGGCCCAGGATTTCTCAGTTAACCCCACACAGGAACAGATGCTGTCATGTTCCTTTCAGAACTCTTTAAGGGTTAAATCTGTATCTGAGACCATCTGGAGCACAAGCAGCCGTCATGCGGGTCATAACTCAAGACTTTGTTCGTAAGTTAAAACTAAAATTCTGGTGGCAACCCAAGTTGTTCGTATGTCAGCCTGGTTGTAACTCAAGGGTCTACTGTATACTAAAAGACATTCATGCCATCCCCTGGTAAGCACTGATGTAATGCCATTCAGATGACAAACCCAGTTCTTTCTGCTCCAATCGGCCAGTGGTTTTCAACACTGGCAACATGAGAATCACCTGGAAGCTTCTAAACATAGATGCCCCTCGACTTATGATGGGACTACGTTCTGATAAACCCATTCTAAGTTGAAAATAACCTGTCAACATACATTTCTCATATTACCAGCAAATACTGGATATAATTTAGCCTAGCCTACCATAAAAGTGTTTGGAACACTTAACTTGGCCCACGTCTGGGCAGAATCACCTAACATAAAGGTTACTTCACAATACAATGTGGACTGTTTCATGTCGCTATTAATAGTATGCTGAAAGTGAAAACAATGGGGTGTGGACTCAATGCTGAGCATGCTTTCACACCACCGAAAGGCATGTGAGTTGACCCACTGTGCATCCTACTACCAGGGCCTCATTTTCAGACTCAGAGTTTGTGGTCTGGAGTGGGGCCTGGACATTGATTTGTTTTAAAAAGCTCCCGAGGTGATTCTACTCTGTGGCCAGGGTTGAGAGCGATTCCAGCTCCATTTGATCTCTCAACAGTCCCATGTGGTCGGAACTGCAGTGACCCTGCTCTCCGGACAGAAGGGCACAGAGAGGGTAACCTGAAACAGAGCCCACTTGCCATGTACGAGACGGGGGTGTACTTCCGATTGAGGGACTCCACCTCCTCTAAGACGCGGCCGTACACGGCCGTCATCCTCCGCTCGTACTCGCTGTCAGCTTGGGCTGCTCCCGTCGACCCGTACTCCTGGAAGCTGAAGCAAAGATCAGTGTCAGTTACTCAACCATTTCAATTCCTAAATTCTTTCAATTCTCAAATGTGTCAAGCACTTTCCATGCATTCTCCTTTAATTTTCCAAGTAGTGGATTTATCTCCATTTATAGATAAGGAACCTGAGGCCTGGAGAGGTTTATTTGCCTGTACTTGGAACTACCAAGTGGCAAGCTAGAACTTAAACCCAGACCTGGCTTCAGATGATGTAATTTTTTGGTTGGGGACAGAACCTAGACCTCTGCACACTCAAGTAAGCACTCTACCACCAAGCTTCATCCCCAGCCCATTTATTTTATTTATTTATTACCAGGGAGCGAACTCGGGTCCTTCTGCTTGCGAGGCAGGAAGCGGAACCACTGAGCTAAATCCCTGGCCTCCAGCCCTTATTTTGAGATGAAGTATTGCCAAGTTGCCCAGGCTGGGCTCAACCTTGTGATCTTCCTGCTTCAGCCTCAGAAGCAATTGGGATGATGTGATTCTTAACCACATTGTTAGGTAGTATGAAAGTATCTAGACTTGTTGCTACCATGAGGTAGAGACAGAATACATATGAAAAGGTAATTAACAATATGTACAGGAATGTGCAGGGTACACTGGTAAACAGAGCATTCTGGGAAAAGTTGAACCTAGATTTCTTCCTTTCTCCTCTACTGTTTCTAGCCCTCAGATTTCTGAAAACATTTCTAAGTGAGATAAGAAAGCAAAATTTTTGCATCCTAAGCTTTTCATGAGGGATGTTTAGAATGCAGTGTAGGTAATTTAAATATGCTGGGCATTAACACTACTATTCCCTTACATCCATTTAGGCCTTCTATTTGTAAGGCTCTTCAGTTGGGCACTTTGCACAGATTTTTCCATTTGATCTTCACAGCTATTCTCCGAAACAGGCATCACTCTCTACCTAGAATTTATGCAGATGTGGCTCAGTGAGATCAAATGTATTCACAGTGCTATGGCAGCAATGAGTGATAAGGGAATTGTGATCACACCTGCCTGGCTCTGAAGCTCTGGTTCCCTGCTTTGCACTAAATTTAAGTTCCATTAGGACAAGAAATTAAATTATTAAAACGAATCAGATAAGTAGAAAAATAAAAGCCAAGTGGTCTAGTCTGAGAACAGCTAGCATTTTTAAGCAGATGGCAAAGTCTTAGTATTACCCTGAAACTGAATGGTGAGTCAGTGCTTTAGGGTAGAGAAACTGAAAGAACTCTGTGGATGGAATTCTCTTTGAGAAAGCTGTTCATGGCATCTCAGGCCTTATTAGGTTAGAATTACTGACAGTGAAATGCATATTCCAAAACAGACAATCCTTGTTCAACAACCTACCTGGTAAATGACTTCTCGGACTTATGACCCGTCTGTTTAAAAATTTGTAGAGTTCTGCACATCTTGTTTATAGAGCCTCAATGTCTCTTTTTGTAGAGTACACCTTGTTTATATACCTGTAATTTTTGTTGATTGTACTGTACTGTAGTTTTATGCTCTGTTATACAGTACGGCAAGTAAGAGTTATGCAAAAAAGCAAAGTCATGAAGTTGGAAGTCTGCTTTGACCATTTCTTTGTTCTGAATATTGTAACATACATACTACATACAATTCCTCATTTAGCGACCAATTCAATTCAATTCCCGGAAATGTAGCTAGGTTGTTAAATGAAGAGTGCCTGCAGAATACTCATTGGAAAAACATATGCAGTGTTTATTTAATCATTTTGATAACTAGTTACTGGGACAGGGAAGAACAATTTTAATAAAGCAGTATCAGAAATATCTTTTGGTCTGGGAAACTAGTGAATAAAATTTTCCAAGTTCAAGCTTAATTAACTGTATTATTAACTCAGTATTTCCCAACAAAATCTAGTTATATAGTTATATAAGAAGTTGTTCATATTCAAACAATTTTTTCCCAATTATTTTTTCAATTGAATGTTTTGAAAACAGGAGGCAAGAGACAAATAGACAGTGGAGAGAGAAAATTTATGTTTTGTCACTACTCATGTAACTCTGGACAAATGTTTGGAAGAGTTTCCTTTTTTGTTTTTCCTTCTATAATTTCTTTTCAAAAGCACTGTTGTGATGATTTGGTAAAACATTACACTTAAAAGTGTTTTGTATGTTAACTCTTACCTTGCTGCTTCTGGATCCAAAATCAGGGCTTCTACTGTGTGAGATATCAGTAAGCAGCTTTGCTGCTGTCTACATTAATGTTAAGGTTATACATAAATAGAAATTCACTATAGATTTTACATTATCTGGATATTAAATAAATCAAGATGAGGGCTGTACTTTTAGTGGAAGTAATCATGTTACCAGCTCAAGTGGTCTTGGGCACTACTTTTTCCTTTTCACTTTTTTTTTTTTGGTACCGGTTATTGAACCCAGGGCCTCACGCTTGCTGGGCAGTATTTTTCCTTTTAAAGGATGTACATTATCTTTCCCAGTGATCCTCAAACTTTGTTTCAGGGAGGGTATTTCAGAGGCCACCTAATGTGGGAAAGGGGAACTAGCCAAGAGGCCTGATTTATGCACAGCAACTCCGTTTTTATCTGTCTTAGATCTAGGAGCTCTTCACAAGAGTTTGAAACAAGAAAACAACAAAAGTTTTACTGATGACAGTTTTAAAAAAAGGGCGGGGGAAGAAGCCAACCGTCTATAGAACCTTTATGTCCATGGTTCCTAAGTTGGGGCTCAAGAGGTATGTCAATTCCCTTGAAAGCGTGGGCAAATTTTGGGATGTAGGTCATATATGCATTTTGTAGTGCAAAGGATCCACAGCATTCATTAAGTTTTAATCAATAAGCCAAAATGCTGCCAAGAACTATAGGCTGGCAAATCCTACAACTATTTCCAAATAATTGGTATCTTTCCTCTTTCCAAAAATGATCTGAAGTTGCCACAAGAAAATATGAAGAACTTAAAGGGGGCTTAGGGATCAAAAATGATGACTAGGGGCCGGGGATTTAGTTCAGTGGTTTTGCTGCCTGCTGCACAAGCACAAGGACCCGAATTCAATCCCCGGTACCAAAAAAAAAAAAAAAAAAAAAGATGACTAAAGCTCTCAAAAGACCATTAATAAAGGTGATGAGAAGTAGAGTTGTTAGTCACGAAGGAAGAAAGCTGGGGTGAAACATTTTCTCGTGAAAAATGTATTGTGCTGCCTGTCTCAGCTCAAGTGAGCACACGGCACGCCACACTCTACAGCAGCAGGATTCAGCCTTTGTTTCTGGTTGTTTTGAGATGCATTCTTGCTCCATTGCCCAGGCCAGCCAAACTCCTGGGCCTAAGCCATCCTGAGCCTCCTGAAGAGCTGGGATGACAGGTGTGAGCCATTGTGCCTAGGCCTGCAGCTCTGGATGTTCTTCCTGGAGGCGGGAATGACAACCATTGAGTCACCGGTTTTGTTTTTTTAAAGAAATGTTTAAAAAGTAGAATTATTCTGTTCATACTAAATTTCAAAGGGGGAAATTACTGATTATAATAAATTTGAAGGTTATCTAATACATATTCTGTAGCTAAGCGGATCTGAAGTACTTAGTCTACATTTAAGAGTACTTCCCAAGAAGAAGAAATAGCGAGGCATGCTTAGGATATAGTTCCACATTCCTCAATGTGGCTGAGTCAGCATCAAAAGATGCTTGATAAAGATCCCCATATCGGGAAGCGAGGCTTCTGAATTCTTCCATGGACTGTTTCATCTATAAAGAAGGAAAAACATAAATGGCGACAAACATGCTATTGTTACTGCATAGACAACACAAAAACATTTTAAAAAAAACCCATCCCCAAACACAAATTCAAAGAAGCACTGAACTCTTGTCATTCTATGCATTTTCCTAAACTTGATATATATACAGTCAGCAAAGGCAGCAATTGATCAAATGTTCCTAAGATTATAACAATTTATGTTGCATACAGACAAAACCCTTTTGCATAGTTTTTAGTTTCAAGTTCCACTAAACCCTTTTTTAGTTTCAAGTTCCACTAAAATAATCACTACAGTCGTAAGCATTCCCAAGCTTCTTTAAAGTGGAACTTCATTCTCTCCAAATAAACTGTAGCACCCACCTATAGGGCTTCAGTGACCAGATCAGCCTATGCTGGTTGACGGACGCATCTGACACAATGTCTGAGTTAAACTATCGATTTTAACTTTCGGAACTTTCAGTCTCACCCCTAATTTCAAATACCTCTAAAGGGTAAATAAAAACTACAAGGAGATGAAAAGTAAGACATGCCTGATTGGAGATGCGACCGCACCTCTGGAGGTCATTTCCTAAGGTCATGGCAATTGTAGTGGCAATGGCGGGTGGAGGGCTTGTCTTTAGGCTATTACAAGTACAGATGAGTTGCGAGAAGGCTTGTAGAAGGTCAATCCTGAGTTTCACAAATTCACACTGAAAACTCAAAGGATTCAGTGGGGTACTGGCAGCCTGGAATAAAAAATATTATGTAACAGTATCCACATTTTACTCTACAAAGTAAGATGCTCTTCCCCATGTCCTTTATAAAAATGCACACTTGTCTAATATAATATCCCTCTCCAAATGCAGAGGCCATGATCAAATATTTTATGTACTACAGAGTTAAAAACTGTACTTAATGTTCACTTGTGGCTTTCAACCTTTGGAATATTTCGTTCTAATTATTAAACAGTACATATTAAGGTTTTAAAGAGACCATTTTCATTGTTTTTAATTTCTCAGATGAGAACCAATTTGCTCTTGTAGGAAGATAAATTCCCTCTCCCCTCTTTGCTCCTTTAGCTGCTACTTGCCGTTTTAATTTACCGCTTGTCCATAACTTCACAAGGGATGGGATATACATAGTATATACAATGCTGTTATATAAATACAGTACAGGCCATCTTACCAGATGAAAAATACTGGCAGTCTTGTTCTAACATGCATTATAAAACTGAAAGAGAAGGATGATGTAGTTATAATGAGAAAGATTTGCTGCTACTCTGATTTATTTTTGACTAACAAGAAATATTTGATTGATGATATAGGACGATGACCTTGAAAGTGATTGTGCTGTCTTAGATCATGCTAATACTGAAGGAAATGTTCAAAAAGAACACAGAAAACTTAGATTTGTCAAAACGGTCAATGACTTTAAAAGGTAAAATTATCCAAGAAAGATGGGAGATGTTTAGGAAATAACACGCCTATAGGAAAGAGAAATACAACACCAATTATAATGCCAAAGAGAAATACAAGGCATGTTTCCTTTTCTTTACACTGCTTAAACAGCAGCTGGGTTATAAGGTCAGCAGATAAAAGGAACATGAGGTACAGTCAAAATTATCCTAGACATTCTTCAAGAAGGCACTATTTCTGGTTAGTTCAACTTGACTGGTGTCCGAACATCGGACTTCCAATGCTCTCTCTCCGGACTGAGCCAAATGGCCCACAGAAATGCGCCCAACCCCACCCCCATGTACACGGCTTGCTGTTTTCCTTCTCTATTACTGAAGGTGTTATTTTTCTTCTTGTCTTTTTTTCTTTGTCAAACATATAAATTTGTTAAACATGCATATAATGCTATTCACTGAATTTCTGATTTGTAGTACATACTTTGTAAAGAGAACTAGCTAAACAAACCAATGAAGTTAAAAAGAAAGCAACTCAATAAGCACATTAAAAACATATATGTAAAAAGTCCATAACAAAAAATTCCCTTTCTAATTTTTTAAGTATAAATTTAGTTGTGGTAGGTATATTTACATTGTGAAAGGGATCTTGAACTTTTTTGTTTTGCAGAACTGAAACGCTATACTCTCTTTTTCGCCTACTAAGCCCCTGGCAAGCAACTACCATTCTATTTTCTGTTGCTATAGATCTGACTACTTAAAAAATTTCTTTTTTGGCTGTTTTTGTTTTTCCTATGCTGGGAATTGAACCCTGGGCTGCACACATACTAGGCCAGCACTCTGCCACTGAGCCATACCCCCAGCTCCTAAACACCTTTTACAATTTTTATTTTTAAGAAGCAGGACAATCTATTCCATGTCACTGTATTGGGAAATCAATGCTGGGGTCCCCATAAGGACAGTTTGGCTGAGCAGATGAAAAGCACAGTGTGATAGTTAACTTGGTGTCAACTTGAGTAGGAAATGCCCAACTGATTGGCCTAGCATAGTTCTGGGTGTGGCTGAAAGGACTTACTGAAGAGGGAAGACTCACCCTAGATGTGGGTGGCATCAAGCAACAGGCTTGTAGCCCGGATGGAATAAAAAGGGAAAGAAGAAGGAAGTTTGCTTCCGGTTCTTTGGAGGAGCTGCCGTCCTTGCCATCGGCTTGGACGTCCATCCCGAGGCTTCCAGCTGACTCTTCAGCCCCCCTCTGGCCTCCCAATATAGACTTGCACAGGACTCTGCAGTGAGCTCCAGTTTCACTTTTGCCTGGATCATCTGGCTCTCCAGGGTGCAGATACAGATTTATAACATTAAATCTTTCCTCTAGTGAAGCCTAATTGACACACACGGTCTTTGGAGCTGTGTAATTTCAGGTCGGGATAATTTATGTCAGAAAGCCAAGGTCAGTCCTTGCTTATATCCTCAAGAAACTGACAGAATAATACAACCAGAAATGTGGGAAGTTTCCAAGCCGTAAGGATCACACTTAAACTCCTCTAGACAACTCTCAAGCAGAGGACAATTTCCTTGTGTTTGAGAGAGGGACTCGTGTTGCCCAGGCTGGCCTTAAACTCCTGGGCTCAAGTGATCAAGCGACCTTCCCACCTCAGCCCCCTAGGTTGCTGGGTCTTCAGGTACATAGTTCATATATATTATTACTGTCATTTTTTAAGCCTCAAAGCACAGTGTCTGGTACATAGCAAGTTCTTAAAATCTGTGGAATAAAAGAACTCCAACTGAAAGAAGAAAATTTAAGGCCTAAAAACCTCCCTCAGGTCATACTGCGTTGGTGGCAGGACTGAGACTAAGTCAAGGGTATGCTGTCAATGAAATGCTTTCTTCTTATGTTAAAATTCAGTCCTTTATTACTACCAAGCCTCATTAAATACACAAACTACAAATCATTATGAGCATTAAATATTCAAGAGAATTTTTCATAAACTTACTCCATTTTTGTGACCCTGTCTGCCTCAGTGTTTTTTATTACCATTTACTACACTGATTAATAATTTTCTACTCCACCTAAACTACAAAATGAAGTAATTTTACTGATCTGAAACAATAATTATACCTTTTAATTTTCTATGGCATTTAGTAAACCTGACTTATAAACAATAATCTTTTCCCAGAATAATCAAGAGGAAAGAAAAATAAAAGAAAAAAAGGGTCACTGGGCCAGGGATTTAGCTCAGTGGCACTGTGCCAGTCTCACAAGCGCAAGGTCCCGAGTTCAATCCCTCATACCACACACACACACACACACACACACACACACACACACACAAACAAAATCAAAAGGAAAGTCATGGCTGTCAACACTACCCTTTACCATCGAGAGGAGGCTGTGGGGGTGGCATGAGCTTATTTAGCATGGGCAAAAGGCCCTGGGTTCCATTCCAGCACTGCCAAAAATAAAAGGAAGGAAAGAAAGGGAGGGAGGGAAGAAGAAAGGAAGGGAGAGTCTTTATGTACATATTTTTGTTTTAAATAGCAATCAATCAATTCTAGTCAAAAAATAAAAATTGTACTTTAAAAACATGCGCTCCACAGTAGCCTTAATACTGTCTCTTTTGTGATACATTTGTTTTCCTTTGAAGCACTTCTTTTGGGAAAGTCCACAATTGAAAATATTTTAAGGCCAGGCATGGTGGTGCATGCCTGTAATCCCCAGCACTTGGGAGGCTAAGGCAGGAGGATCACGGTGAGTTCAAAGACGGCCTGAACTACGCAGCAAGACCTTGTCTCAAAAAAAAAAAAAAAAAATTGTTTTTAGATATATCACAAGGGATATAAACAGGTACTAAAAGTTTTATGGCTCTACCTCAATATATGCAATTTTTAAAATGTGTAACAATACTTTAAAAAAGTTTCATGTTGACTATACAGTCTAGAGAAAAAGCCCTTTGACAAATGCAGAAAATGTTCATTTCAGGGAACAGATTCTTACTCAGGAACATCTGATGGTGGCCCTGGTTAACATCTTAGTAAGGATCCTCCTTCCACACCACACACATGGCACCCAGTACTTTATAAAAACAAAACATTAACTTCCATCATCTATGAATGTTAAAAAAGGGAAGGGCCTAAGGTTTATTTCCATGACCTACGCAATTACTTTCATGTTGCTAAATATACACACCAGCAGGTTTTTCTTAAAATAGGAAAACCCAAAAAGAGAAGGGAGAGAATTCTCCAACAAATCACTGTCCCCAAGGAAGAATTAGGAGGACTTACTGTCAAGGAGGCAATCCCTTTATGGTAATATTTTAAAGACTCAGCAATGCAAGACAGTGCTGAACTGTAATTCTCCTCTTGCAGCCCTGTGAGACACTGCTCTGCCTGTGAGAACTCCTTCAAACTGTTCAGCCAGAAGTAAAAGTGTTCCGAGGCAACCTGAGTCAGCAAGCTCTGATAAAGCTCTCTGGCCATGTCATGATTACCCTAAAAAGGGAAGAAATAAAAATAAAGGAAAGAAAGAAAAAACAGAGGGAGCAGATGGTAAGGTTCTCACGCTTGACAGAGTTGATGCAGCAGGTCAAAGACAAACCCAAGCCGTGTATAAGCTTGGATAATCATTTCTCAAATTACATAATTCTTGGAGAAAATACGCCGAGCTGCTTTTATGTAACAATGCCTAAAGTTCTAACCAAAACAGTTCCAAAGAGAAGGTGAATGGAATGAACTATAACCCAAGTTTAGAATTTCAGGCTAAACTGTAGGAAGCAAGATCACACATCCTGTGTGTCACACTGGAGGAACCATCAGTATTGAGGGGACCACGGGGGAGGTCGCTGTTGGGGGAAACATGAACACTGTTCACCGCCAGGGGCCAGGGATGCTCCAGCTTGGGCTAGTTCACTGTAGTAAGGCAAGGCTGTCCTGTCAGCGGCGCTGCTCCTCCATTTGAGAGGCAGTGCATGACTGAGGCCATGAGCACCGACCACCTGGAGGAGTGCTCTCAAACTCCATTCTGACTTATCCCCAAATGATTTCTGTACTATCCAGGCTTTGGATTTCTTCTCAAAGAAAGGTAGTAAAAATTGTTAAGCTCTCTGTATGGCTGAGACAAGTGCAGCATACTAAAACCTCCCTGTTTCTACTTAAGGACCAGAAGGTTGGGGAGAGAAAGAAAAGCACAAAGTGGTGCACTGATCGAGGAGGACAAAAACAGTGGTGATGTGGCCTTGCTCTGGACAACACAGGACCAAGGGAAAGCGCACTAACAACCTACAGCGAGACAGAGCTGGGACTTCAGCTTCCGCACAGCCCCGAAACACAGCAACACAAACACCTCTTTTATGAGAAAGGCTAGCTTAGGTCCTTTCCTTCACATACGCAGAGCCCAGGAGGAAAAAGCACTCCCCTCTTCGTTTTCAGTTTTGACTGAGTAATAACAACCACAGAACTAGGGCACGTGACCCGACACTCCCACCCACCACTACCCAGAAGGGCCTCGTACCATCCTGGAGGCCTGCCTGGCAATGCGGTACACGGTCCATCCGTTGGAGACGCTTTCAAGCTGCTGCTTAATCACGGCCTTGACTTCAGCAGACAAAGCTTTCTGGCTGGCTACAAAAATCACTGTAGCCAAACTCACCTAACCGTGAACAAGTAAGAAAAACAAGAATATCATGTAATTGTACCCAATGTCATAGATAACTGACTGAAAAGGGAGAAAAATCAAATACGGCTCATTTCAAAGAACAAAATTTGTTTTCCACTAACATTTATTTAATTCTCATTTTGAGAAATTTCTGAGCATTCCACTGACACAGAGCACTGTTTATAAAATCAAATAATGAGAAACAATGCCCATAAATAAATAATGATATAATCACACAATGAGATACTATACAACAGTGAACAGGATAAATTAGAGATATACTTATCAATACAGATGATTAACAAAACAGGGAAACTGCAACTGATTACTTACAGTACAGTATTTATGTAAAATAAAATTACCTAAAGGAATATTGCATGTTACTTAGGAATATATACTGAGATCATAAAAGTGTAACATGCATGGGGATCAGAGATACCAAATCCAGGGCAGACTTTATGAGCTTAATTGGAAATGCTCTGAAATCTGAAAGTACATAAAGTTTTGCATTTCTGAGTTTAGATTTTAGATTTTTGGGTTAGGGTTGTTCAATGTATAGTATAAAAAGTTCACAGTGTTAATTTTGCTTTGCTTCATCATGCTCCTGGTTTCAGGTAACTGCTTTAACCAGTTATTTGCTTTATTCTGCTTTTTAAGTGAAGTCAAACAGTAGTGGTGACTTCTTTGAATATTCCCCACGAGACCATGTCCTAGGCTAGCAGCAGATGTAGACAGCCGCTCTTTACCAGAAGCTCCTGTTGCTTGTCCGTGGCCGACCGTCCGATCACCTTGTAGAGCTCCATGAGGTCGCCAAGCATCCCATCGGCCAGCACTGGCAGCTGCATGGCAATAGCTGCCAGGCAATGGGACATCAGGATCCGCGCAGCGTCCTGGGCACTGTGCAGCTGCGTCAGCAAGGTCTCCACCACTGACTGGCTAAGGTGGGGCCTGCCCTTGGCCAGCTTCACCATGCAGTTGAGAGCAATCTGCATGCCACGGAGAAAACACACTAGTTACTCTCTGAAGGAATTTCAGACTTGAAAGAAATGAACTTTATATAAATCACTGAAAAAAGCCATGGGCAGTTTTTGTAGGTATGACATTTTTCTTCATAAGACACACGTGACATACCGAATCCCACATGAGGCCTGTGAAGTACACTCTTTAAGAAAACAAGTCACGGCTACACATCAAAACATCAACCACTCATTTCAAGCTAAGACTGTGTTTAAAAAAAGATAAGACTATAAGGGATAATGCTGAAGCAAATATATGCCAAATAAAATGTCACTAATAATGGTACTTTCACTACTTTTCAAGAACTGCTTCTTAAGGGTGCCTTATGAACTATGCCAGCATATCCCTGGGTGGTGATAAGAAAGCTTCCTGCCCCCTCACATCCCAAACTCATGAATTAACTTGTGTGCATGTGTGTTGATGTTCCTGAGAATTCAGTTTTCGAAAGAGGCCCTTGGTGATTCTAAGCACAATGAAGTGAGAACAAGTTTCTACTTTTCTCTCTTATTTCTCAGCTGAAATCTAAAACCAGCTGGCTTAAGAGCTTCTCCCTAGGTAATAAAATAGCCAGTATTTCCCACCAACAAAACTAGAAGCATGGAAGTCTTGTCACTTTTTCATAGCTAGCTGATTCTTTTGTCAAGTCTCTAATATCCACTGTTAGCTCCATTTTTCTAACATATCTGAAGTCTCTCCCTAATTCTAATCTCTTGAAAAGATGTGCACATCAATCCATCCTTTATACTACAGGCATTTAGCTATCAGTGTGGTGTCTCGGGCTCATAATAAACTTCCACCTGACGGACAAAAGGTTGAAGTTCATCTTGCCCTTTACTAGTGACGTGGCTTCGAACTAGTTATATGCACAAGGGTTTAATAGTTTGGCACATTAACACACACTAACAAATTATAACAAAAGTTGGAGCATGTTTATTATTTTAAAATTCTAATATTTCCTCACTACCTATAGAATCAAGCATGTTCCCTGGCATATTTGACATGCTCCATGATCTAGCTGTACAACTACTTTTTCAATCTCCTACCTATTATGTCACCCAGCCACAGTGGTCTACTCGCTGTTCTTCCAACATAACAGGCAAGTTTCTGCATTCAAGTCTTCTGTAACAGAGGTCTTCGGAGCTTGAACATTCTTTCCTACTTACTAAAATTCTCATCCATCTTTCAAGGTTTCACTCATGACATTCACTTGTTGAATGTTCCCTAAGATCCTTAGCTCACATCAGTCTCTCCCAAGTCTGTCCACTCATGAGAACTGCACCTTTGTTTATATCGCAGAGAATGCACTGCATTCTGCTTGGTATTCTTTATACAAATGACCATATCCTACTCCAGACAGAAAGCTCCACTAACACAGGACCATTCATAATTATCCACATATGTCCCTCTGAGCCAAGTCCAGTGTTACTAAAATCTAGGATTACTAGCAAAAGGATTTGTTTTTGCTTTATTGTGTTATCAAATTTAAATGTATAGTGGTTCTAAGAGGATTTTGAGGCCCTCCTGGGATGTACTGCCAAACACATGTTGTCTACTTCCTTTCGTCACCTCCATATCACCAACTTTATTAATCTTGTTACCATCTTTATTATTCATTTTACAATGACATCACCTTTCTTAACATCCAAAATGAGACATGACTTCTTTTGAACCATACTGAAGATAAACTGGTTTTTACATTCTGCAATCTATATCTATTAGCTTTTTACTGCTATTAAAACGCTTTTATTAATTTTGCATCATCACAGGTTACATTTCATGTTTCATTCCAATAATAGTCTCATCTTACATTTAAAAAGTCTGAAATATACCCAAGACAGAGGTGGCTGACTCAGGTGGGCTAGGCCTGAGGGCACTAGGATTAAGGGCGTGAGTGCTGCCCACCCTAAGTGGTCTGAATAAGGTAAAAGGGGCAGGAAGGCACTGTTAGGGTCCCTTGTTGCTTTTGCTGTCTTTCACCGCCAGGAACTGTTGCCCCTCAGCCACCCTGCCCTGGAGACAGCCAATTATGGACTGAAACCTCTACCAACTGTAAGCCAAATAACCTTTCCCCCTTTCTTAGGGTGTCGGGTATTTTGTCTCAGCAATGAGAAAAGTAATAAGACAGACAGTTTCTGTACTTAAGTGAAAGTGAGAATTCTTAACATAAATTCTTCCCTTGGTTTGTAAACTAAGGCTTCTACAGTCCAGCAACTAATGAATACTTACATATTAATGAGTTTGGCTACAGTCATTTCAGCAGTTTTTTGTAGCTGTTAATATTATCTCAGACTAGAACTACTATGAGTGTTCTACCTATTTATATTGTATAGAATCATATCTGTTCACTGCAACTTAAACACTGGCAGCTGAAGGCAAAATGGGCCACAGTTCATATTTCTACTGTCTACCTTTTAGGATACTATCAAAGAGCCTGTCTTCAAAGTGAACATCAAGGGCAAATGTTTTTTAAGCTAGGAGTTGTTGCCTCTGGGCCAAATCTAGCCCTTTGCCTATTTTTGTGAATGAAGTTTAACTGGAACACAGACTTCTCCCCCTCACCTTAAACATTCCATCCATGGCTGCTTTTGCCCTACAACTGCGCAAGGCAGTAGTTGTAATGCAGAGTGTGGCTGGCAAAAGTTAAAATATTTACAGCCTGACCCTTTACAGAAAGACAACCATGCCCTATGAAGACAGGTATCATGTTAAGTGATATTTTACCTTTAAAGTAGCTTGAGCACCAGGACTATCATCCTGACTACAAAGCACCAGAAGGGATTCCAGGCCAAAGACAGCATCTTGCTCCAGTGTCAAGAGATCTAGAAGAAAAGCACCAAGTTTTAGGGTGATCAGCAGAGGAGTAAGTATATGCACGTGCTCATACACACCTCACTCACACAGGAAAAAAAAATTGAGTCTAAGACATAAGAAACATTTTACCCTTCCTTGAAAAAGCACATGCAGCATTATTTCTAACATGTAAAGACCTATCTTCAGACTTTATTTCTACTGCTTTGTCGTAGATTATAAAAATATACACATTAAATCAAGAGGTAAAGCCAAAGCTATAAGGAAAGCAAAATTGAAAACAGCAGCAGCAACTTAGCTAGGGAAATATTAAGAACAGAAAACTGTGCAGTATGTGTTGATCTTCCTAATCAGACTAAAATTATACAGGCCCATTTTCACCTCATATAAAATAGTCTTAGGGCCAGGGATTTAGCTCAGTGGTTCTGCCACCTGCCTCGCAAGCGCAAGGACCCGAGTTCAATCCCCAGTACCAAAAAAAAAAAAAAAAATAGTCTTCATCTTTGAATTAGAGTTAACCACTTAGAGGATGCAAGGAAGACTCCCCATAATCTTACGAATGTTTTCACTCAGACCTTTAGGAATGAACCCCTTAGATGCTTCCTGTAACAGCGGTACTACAGCATCTTTTCACTACCATAGGGATACAATTCCTCTGGGGGACCTAGGATGCTATGAATGGCCTGGTTAACTGTATTTAGGTTAACATATGTCAGTGTTGAGAACATACAGCAGTTTTCAGTATTACATGGAAAAATTACTCTTTGCTATGCCCCAGATAAAACAGGCTTACTTACTGAAATCAGAACCAACATACAGCTTTACCAATGCTTCCTGAGTTAGTGTAAGGGCGTGGCAGTGAGTTCAAAGACTAGTGAAGGTCAGGGTACAGAAAAAGGCAGACACTAGGAACAAGCAGTGCTGAAGGCCAGTGGGGATAAGGAGGGCCACTCAGCTTTTGACCCCTAATAAGGATCAAACTGTCCAAAAAGCAGTTTCTGTTCTTGGACAAAAGCATGAAATTTTTCAAGTCTTTAGGTCAAAAAATATTAGGACCACAAGAAAATATGTGCATTATTTTCTTTGCATGTCTTCCTGGATTATGCAAATCAGCTTAATGCTACATATATCTAGGAGATGAGTTTTGTCAAGTTATGCACACTGTTCTGTTCATTCACTTGTCGCTACAACCTGTCATTCAAGCACCTTCAGCAAGGAACCTCTCTGTATCAGTGAACACACTGTTTTAAACCACAGGGGTAGATTTCCTAAGCAATCTCTACCCACAGCACCACACAGGCAGAGGGAAGTGAAGGGAGGAAATGGGCAGTGGTCCATAAAACCTCTCAACTGCACAATCTGTCAGTCCCAAGGTCTTTAGATTTTTATTACCCTTCACAAGAATTAAGTGGCCTTTTTTTTCGTACTGGGGATCTAACTCAGGACCTTGTACTTGCAAAGCAGGCGGAGGAACCCCTGAGCTAAATCCCAGCGCAAGAATTAAGTGGCCTTGAGAAGTGGGTTCCAAGAACCCTTCAGAAGGAAGCAACTACAGATCAATGCGCACAGGCTAAAGACAAGGGAACAGGAAATCAAGCACACACAGAATCCTGTCCATGCTCCAATCCAAAGTTCATAAATAATACTATTCCTGAGTAAACTTACCTTTAAAACCCTTTTGAAGTTTTACTAGCATGTGTTTGCAGTATATGACTCCATGCGTGGTGGGAGCTCGTATGTGTATATAACGCATCTTGATTACTTTTACCCCCTCTTCCCTCCACCCCCATCTCTTGGTTTTCCTCTCATCTGCAAAGATCTACCGCCCTATTTCCCTTTATCTATCTGCATTTTGATCTTTAAATTATTTACACTTTGGGTTCCTCACCGGAGAGAAACCATTTGACATTTTAACTTGTGTATCAGATTTATTTCACTTACATTATTATCTAAAGATGAATTCCTTTTCCTATAAATGACTCAAATTTATCCTTGTTTATGGCAGAGTAGTACTCCATTGTGTATAACTATCACACTGTCTTTATCCATTCGTCTGTAGATGGACATAGGCCACTTCCAAGACTTGGCTGTTCTGAACTGTGCTGCTAAAGACATGGGTATCCACATATCACTGTAATATGATGTCTTTAACTCTCTTGGGAAGATACACAGAAAGGGGCTAGCTGAGTCAAACCGAATTTCTATTTTTATAAGCTTACCTTTTTCTTGACAAGAGACAGTTATATTAGTTAGAACTCTTACTCCATGAGCCGCAATGCCCCTGTTATTATGGTAACAGCACTCCTGGGCTAGCTTGACTAAATCAGAGGATCTGGGGGAAGAACCTACATTTCCTGAACAAGCAGAGAAAAGTAGTACACATTACAATTCATTCCTATAGTTAAAAAGCAGTTCAACTTACAGGTTTAGTATTCTTAGTTTTATGAGAAATTCTCTAGCAACAAAGTATAATAATAAAATTTTGCACAACCTCATTATCGATATACATCACTTCTCTTCCCCTATTCAAGGTATTTAAATGGGTATGTGCTAACAGTTTTGTAATAACTAAGATCTAAAATCAACACAAGACTTTTCCATAAAAATTTAAATCACAGCTAAGAAAAAGTGCAAAAGCCAAAATAACTATAGAGTATATCCTGGGAGTTCTAATGGATTCTGATTAAAATGGATGTTGCTGTGGGCCTCTTGTCAGATAAAACCATTCCTTCAAGGGAAGAGAGAAAAGGGAAACAACTATGTTTGGTTTTTCCCACCCCAAATGGCAGGTATATGTTTATATCTCAAAAAGTTTACATGAGAACTTGTGATTATACAGCTAGAGAAGACTCTGAGATCATCTGGCGGCATTACTCCTATTTGCATATTATCCCTACTTTTACAGAAGCAATCAAAGATTCTAAGTACCCTGCTATCCAGGCCATTAATCTTGTTAGTTAGGCCCTCTGTGCTTTACACAGTATCTTAAGTTCTATGCTGTAGACTGTAGTAATTCTCATTTGAGATTCTATAAACTCAGTCCTATGTTATGAGTAAGTTATAGAAGGAACTTTCCTTTATAATCAGGTGAGCTTCAGAAAGAACCAGGAGACTTAAACTTGTTCAGTTTCTTAGAAGAGTCTCTCATTCCTGTCTTCCTTTCCTCTGCTAATTTTTGAATGATTCCTATCCATGTCACCTTGGCTCTCATACTAAGCGTGATTGTATTTTTGAGGTTGAGGGGACACTACTAATTACAACAGGCATAAACCAAGCCTATCCTAGATAGTGTAAGGTCTTACTGATTTCTGGTTTAACAACAAGAACAACAACAACAACAAAAACCCACCAGCTTCAGTGTTTTTAAGATAGTCAAAACATTACAAAGATGAAACTATATATTCATTTTCTCCCCAAAATTTTCCATTCTTTTTCTTACGTGATGCAGACAACGTGCACTCATCTATAAACTTGCAAGTATGTTTTATAACCTTCAGTTTCCTTTTCTCTCCCTACTAAGGCTCATCATAGGAAACTTCGTGGGGAAAAAAACCAAAAAAATTCAAAGAAGAAAGCCAAAAGTTCCCTAAATTGTGTAAGTCAGCATGAACTTACTGTAATTTTTTGAAATAGCCTTTTAGAATCCCTTTATGTATACCAATATAATTTAAAAATTAATATATAATTAGGATATGTAGATACTGGCCAATACAGTATTCTGTTTTTAATATAGAACATTTTTGAGTATTTTCCTGTGTTAAAATTTTAAGGGATGAGATTATTTTTATTTTAATTTTGATTTACTTAGAAACGGTTTTCTAAGATAAAATCATATGGTTCCAAAGGTACAACAAATGGTAGAAAAAAGTAAAAGGCTAGTGAGATAAAAGTCTCCCTTATCTACCCAATGTTACAAGTTTCTTAGGTACCATTCCAGACACTAAAATTTGCAAGCATATTTTTTCTTTCTTTTTCTTTTTACATATTATCCTGGACCTTATATATTTTTCTCTTTAAATATTAAATCATGGAGATTATTCTATGCCATATATTCATTAATAAATTGCCATACATTCTTTTAATAAGTTGATTTCTAGTACAGTGATACACCACAATTTGTTTAATGAGTCTACTGACGGACCGTTTTATGATGCTATTACTTCCTCTACTGAGGGACGATATTTTACTATTACAAAGAATGATGACATGATATATAATCTTGTACATATATCACTTCTTAATATGTGACTATGTAAGTAGGATAAATTCTTAGAAGCGCAATTTCTAGGTCACCTGTAGCTTATTGAGTATTCCAAACTTGCCTGTGCAGAGGTTCGATAATCTATATTCACACCAGCAGTGAGAGTGGCTGTTTATCCACATCCTTGCCAACAGAGCATGCTATCAAATTTCTGAATCTTTGCCCATCTCTTGGATTAAATTTGTGTTTCTTATTTGCATTTTTCTTAGATATATATGACATTAAATGTTTTATATGGACAAGAGCCATATTAGAGGTAATTTAGACATACTAAATTTAAATTTTTTACAAACTATTTCTTATTTAATTTTTCTTATACAGAAAAAATCTAAGGGATTGAAACAAACATTTATCATTATTTTATAAATAATCTTAACTTTGTAAAATCCTTGACTTTTACTTTTTATGAATATTACCTGGTTAACTATTTAAGCCCTTTCGCTTAGTTCCATATATCAATTATACTTTAACAAACTCCAATGAAAGGACAAACAAATATCCAGCTTGAGACATGCTTAACCTGACACACATGCTTATAACTGTGTTTGGAATTAAAAAATAAGGAAAAAACCATTTTTTGGCATAAAAACAAAACAACACAGAACAAAACAAAGACTCCCGAGTTGGGGAACTCTTGGGTTCAGGCACAAGCAGAAGCATCTCTTCTGTACGTGACTCTGAATCTATCTTTGAACCTTTGTGAGTTTGTTTTAATACTTAAAAACTGCCTTGCATGTGCCCCACTTGAAAGGATACTTATGAGAAGGCGCTTATGAATTTTAAGAAACAAGACTTTGCCTACCATAGCTCTTTCAGAGTATCCCGTTAGTCAAGGATGTTAACTGTAAGTTACGAAACAGACTGGTCCATTTATGCAGAAGAGGAATTCACTGAAAACACACTGCGAATATGGTCAACTGTTTATAGAGAAAATCCCATCCCTGTGGACATGCCCTTTGCCATGTGATTTTCTACGCCCTCATGCCAAGAGGCATTCATTTCACCGCCTCCGTGGGGTGGCCGTGTGCCTTTGCCCTGACCAGTAAGGCTAAGAAAATATGGCACAAGCGGAGGATTGAGAAGCGCTACATGTCGGTGCTTCGGCTTCTTCGGCTCAGCTAGCAGCTGTCGCACTGACAGCCACACGGAGAACTAAGGTGTTGCATCTGAGAGCCTTTCACTCCCAGAACATGAATGAGGCCAGCCAGTCGGGTCATGGCTCCACGACGACCCCCGCGCCAAGACCAGCAGAGCTGTCTCGCTGAGCCGAGTCAGGACTGCTGATTCATAGGATCAGAATAAAATGCCCATGGTTTAAGGCACTGAAGTTTCGGGATTTTTATGGATTAACAGATACCTGACAGAGAGTACTGAACAGAATTACTCAAAAGGCTGGAATGCTAAAGTCAGAAAACAGGAAAAAAGGGAGGCCAGGGCAAAGACAAGATCACAGTTCAAAAAGCCATGCACAGAATTAGACCAGTGAAGACACTGTGGCCCCTCTTACTGATTACTTGATGTCACAGATTACACAGCTGTTACAGGTACCAGACATTGCAAACACCCAGTGCTACAGTGTGTTCTGGAAACAGGATGGTGCTGTGGTCATTTCTGTATCACTACAATAGATTCTGTCAATCCCCACTTCTTGTTATCGGTTCCCAATTCAGTCTGTGACATGGAAATAATTAATTAAGTGCAGGCCACATATGTGTACCCTGGCTGTAAGGTAGGCCAGAGTGCTGTATCAGGTCTTTTCAGCTTCCTATTAAATGTCCCCACCAGCATGCATGTACCACTGATTCAGAGCCATCTGGCAGTGAGGCTTACCAATTCTGGCCCCACTGTAAATGTGTTAGGACTTACTTGACAGGACATTTCCCTGACCTAGCAAATTCATGCTGTGCAGTGACAAAAAGGAAAAATAAATGTAGATGATAGCTCTTTAATTAATTCGGTTCAAATTAACTTTTCAGAAAAAGCCATAAAGATTCCACAAAACTGTCATAAAACAACAAAAAACTTTAGCCTTAAATTTTGTAACACTTAAGTTGGATTATTAAATTGAATGGTTTGAGAGCCACTTAGGGGATTAGTAAAGCACATGGTAGGTATGTCCAGGTGGGTTATGGAGGCCTGGCCTCAGAGAATATATCTGGCCCCTGACCCCTCTGTCTCTGGTGCTGTTCCCATTTTTTTGCCTCCTGGCTTCCAAGAACTAAGCACCTTTGCTCCAATACATCCTTCTGCCAAGATGTTTCTGCTCTGGAGCCAATCGATCATGGACTGAATCCTCTGAAACCATGAGCCAAATAAACCTCTCCTCTAAGTTTCCAGTGTCAGGTACTTTGTCCAGCAACAAGAAAGCTGACCTACACAAGTTTGTTAGGTAAGAAAGCTCCTCAGTAAGCAAGCATATGGTGTTTGCTTTTTTTTTTTGGTACTGGAGATTGAACTCAGGACCTTGCGCTTTTGAGGCAGGCAGCGGAACCACGGCATTTGCTTTTAAAATCACCACCACTTGGTCTTTGAAATGTACTTAAATTCAAAGGATACTTTGAACCTGATCTACAAAATCAAACCAACCATTCTAGATATTCTCAAAAATATTTTCACCCTGGGGCTAGGGATTTAGCTCAGTGGTTCCACCGCCTGCCTCATAAGCCCAAGGTCTTGAGTTTGATCCCCGGTACAAAAAAAAAAATTTTTTTCACCCACATACAATTCAAACAAGAACAAATCAGAAAAATAATATCCTTAAGACCAAGAATACAAGATTTTATTATAAGCATTCAATCATTTTCAAATAAGTCACCAGCATACAATGGTGAGATTGAAACTTTCTCTGATTTAGTGTTATTATCTCTTCCTTACCTGGAGCTATGCTGAAGTAATGCTTGATGGCAATGGTCCCTGATAACGTGGAGAGGACAGACAGCATCCCGAGTTTTAAGCTGTCATAAGGCGTTTGGAGGGCACACTCACAGAGTGCCTAAAATGCAGAAGAGAAGCAAACACAGAATTTAAGACATCAATGTACTTTGAAACTGTCAACTCCACTGAAATCTCTATCTTTTAGAAAAATTATGTATTAAGATATTTTTTCCATGATAAAAACCTTAGGTCTAACTGCCAAACTCCTTAAAGGAGCATAAGGAGAGATGATACTAAATATAATGTGGTACCCTGGAACAAAAAAATTTAAGAAAGTAGAATAAAATATATAAAATAGAATAAAATGTACTGGTTAATAGTAATATGTCAGTATTTGTTCATTTATAACAAATGTTCCATATTACTATAAAAAAAATCATTAACAGGAAATTGGGTGTGGTGTATGTATACTATTTTCTCAGTGTTTCTGTAAATGTGAAATTGTTCTAGAACTTCCACTACATTTTACTTACTTCAGTGGTAGAAATTCTGTATTATGCGCATTAAAATAATAGAGCGTAGTGTTCTAGCTAGCTTATAAGTCAGTAGGGCCACCCTTCCAGTTTTGCTCATTTACTCTACTTCTGACTACAGTGGCCTGCAGTGTTAACCGGAAACAAGGTGCTAGTTTTCCTTCCTCTGCAGTGACCTGTGGGTATTTGCTCATAATATACCGACTCTTGCTTGCTTCAGTCTGTGTGGTATTACTCTGCATCTCAGGACTGCATGTAATAGAGTTAAGCAACTGTCCTGTTAAACTAATTCCATTCTTCCACAAAGAGGAAAATAAGCAAAACTTAAAGTCTAAGGGAACAATATAGAAAATTCTGGAAGTCGTTAAGTAATAAATTTAAGATCTCAAAAAAAAAAATCAACAAAATTTTGGGGTCTTCAGATACTCTGATTCCAAAGATCACATGGAAGAATTAAAGCCCCAAAACATTCAGAAAAAAATCTGATAAAAATAGATTAAAATATATACCCAAATTTAATATATGATAATGGCATTTAAAATCAGCAGTATCATTTTAAAAAGCTTACAAGGAGAACTGGCTAGTCATCTGAGTAAAATAAAACCAAATCTGTTCCCCGGTACCAAAATAAAAAACTTTATACAAATGCTTTTAAAATGTTTAATCTCATTCATAATTTGAAAAATCTAAATTCAAAGAAGTATTGCCTTTCACCAATCAGATCGCCCAAGACAAATACCTATCTCTGAAGAGTACAGGGAAACAGGTACTCTCTCTGTCGCTGATAGAGGGGTAAAATGGCATAAACTTCATTGGTAGGCAATTGGCATTAATTCACAAAAATTTAAAAAATACATATTATTGGACCCAGCAACTCTCTTCCGGGAAATTACATTCACAAAGGTGACTTTTACAAACTACAGTGGTATCTCGGTCCTCGTCCTTAATTGGTTCCAATTGTTTGGGCTGGAAAGGAAAGTGAGTCATGAGACAATTGACCCTGACAAGTTCTAGCTTTCCACTGAGTACCAAATGATGAGTACCAGGACAATATATTCGTGGCAAAATGTGGAAAGTAAATTAAAGTAAATCAAAACAGAGGAAGAAAAAGAAAGAGAGAGACAGAGAGACAGAGAGAGAGAGAGGGAGAAAGGGGCCAAAAGCAAACATACACAGCACAGACACCCCCCCCCCCCCAAGAGTTAGGGAGACTACTGTGGCATGGTAAACAAAGTAAGTTAAGAAAGAAGAGTTGCACAGGCCCAACTGTAGCCTACGGCGATATCCAGGCTGGTGGAAGGCCTGAACTAGTCTGCTGGTAGGAATGGAGATTAGAGGATGAGTAGGAGAGAGATTCTGAGTGTTTTTTGTTTGTTTGGTTTGGTTTTTGCAGTGCTGGAGCTGAGCCAGGGCCTCATGCATGAGTTCTTACCCCCAAGCTACACTCGCAGCCAGTCAGATATTTTGAAAGTGACTGATTATACAAGACAGAAAGGATATTAAGGATTCAATGATTATTATACCATTTCAAATGTAGTGACTAGATGATGTTGATTCCATTTATGAAGACTGAGAATTTATGGGGGCTAAGCCAATTTTAGAGGAAGGACAGAAAATAAGAGATGTGAAGTCTAAGGAGAAATACTCATCAGGTAATTTAAAATCCAAGATGTAGTACATTTTTAGCAGGAAGATTCACATCAGAATTCTGGCTCTGCTATTTGCCACCTTTGTGATCTGAGCCAATCACTGAGATCTTTAAGTCTCAACCTCTTTGTAAAATGGGGGTAAATTATAAAGAACTGTAGTTTCCATGTGAAATATCTGTGGAAAAATATGCAAAATATTAGACAGCAGCACTGGCTAAAGGAGCTGTGTGGATGGTAGAACAATAGGTGAGAAGTATGTTATAATATACCTTTCTGTAGCACTATCTCAAAAAAGAAAGAAAAATAAATGAATAAATGGGGTGACATCTGTTATACAGCCACTGACAGTCAAAGCACTTTGCAATCTACACAAACTACTATGCTAAAGAGTAATGCTGCAGCTGAGCTCAATGCACTAGGTAGATGTAGAAGCTCCACACACTGCACTGTGTGAGGCAACCAACCTAACAGAGTAAAGGAAAGAAAGCAGAGGCCAAGGACTCAGCTCTGAGGATAAGGGGTGGACTGACTGTCAGTACTAAAAATCCAAGACAATAAAGGCAGATGGATTTAGCATTAGGAACACTGGTGAGCTTTTAAATGTCTCAATATATCTGATAGGAAAACAGATACAAATGCAAATGTATTTTTAAAAAAGCAAGGTTAGGTAAGGATATATAAGCAGCTACAAATGCTTTTTATGAAGTTCAAAAGAAAGCACTTTATGAAGTGATTAGTTAATACTATAGTTTTGATTTATTCAAATACTCGAGAAATTTTAAATAAGAGAATAATAGTTTTTTAAAAGAGTAATTTTACCATTTCAAAAATTAAAACATCAGAAAATCTTACAGGGTGATTTACAATGTTATCTTCTAATTTCTGTCATGTAGCACATTACTGGGTATCTAAAATGGTACATAATGATGTAAAGCTTCATTGATTCAAATAAGCAAACGCCACAGAGCAAATCACAAAGTTCTCTAAATATAGCACATAGTCGTATTTCAATGATGAATATGGTTCAAGTTTCTGTTTCGAGGACATTATCTATTATACAATTATTCTTAACAGGACCATTTTCCATAGCAACAAAGAGGAAAAACTATCTCTTCAAATAGATTGCCCTTTCTCACTAGCACTAATGCCTTTCTCCTTGACTATTGGTCCCAATTCCTCCCTCTATGCTAGCTTAACCCACTGCTCAAACAGGGGTCCTGGCCTGAATTACTGTTTTCCGGGTCAGTCTCTAAATAGTGATTTCTTCTCTACCTTGGAATGGGACTGGCCAACAGGGATGTGTTCCAGAAAAGTTTGCTAAAAAGCAACTCTTTCTCCCTGCCTCTGTGTGTGCGTGCGTGCGTGTGTGTGTGTGTGTGTGTGTGTGTGTGTCTCCCCTCCCCTCCTCCCACCTTCCCTCCCTTCTCTTTCCCCTCCCATTCCCCTCCCTTCCCTTTCCTTTCCTCTCTCTCTTTCTTTCTATTGCACGGTATTGAGGACTGAACCCAGGGGCTCTGCCCTGAGCTACATTTTCACTCCTTTATTTATTTATTTTTAATTTTGAGACAGGGTCTTACCAAGTCACTAAATTGCTCAGGCTGGCCTCAAACTTTTGATCATCTTGTCCCAGCCCCAGAGTGCTGGGATTGTACTGTAGGTGCACAACATCACACCCAACTGCTTATACTCCTTAAAGTGGGAAGAATGCTAAGTTTCAAAGTATTCTGTCAGAGACACAGCACCTATAGATTTTGTGTCTCCACTATAATTACAAAGAAAAATATTACTAAAAGAACTAATTCTCAGGTTTAACTTGTCATCCTCTTAGATCTGGTAAAGTACAAATTAGAAACTGTCAGGAGAGATAACAAGTGTATACTTTTGAGGGTATCTAGAACAAATAACCTTTTGCTTTGTAAGAAAGGTTATATAAATCAAATAAGATTTATTTATTCAGATAAGACTGCTCTGATAGCAGAATACTGTAAATTATTCAGATAAGACTGCTCTGGTATCAGAATAATGTACTACCTGACAGAAATTATTAATACAGATTAATACTAACTGTACAAGGTATCCAAAAATCCAAAGGAAAATATAAACACATTAAAATATTTTAATTGCTATGAAATTATTCTGTTTTTCATTATATTAATAATATTACACTATACTTGGGTCTTAATTTTATCCCTTCCTTCTGGGTTTTCAAATACTCAGTGTGATAGCCTGAGATATTTGAATCCACACAGAATTTATAAAACTAAGCAATAAACCACTAAAAGTAGCAAGAGAGTACACATGATCTGAGTATGGAATATCAAAACTCAAAAAAATCACTCAGCAATAAGATTAGTCAAGTGGAAGACAGAAAAAAGAAAGCAATACTGAAGGAAGTGCCAAAACAATAATCACTTTTGGTAACTGAAAGTAAAACTCAAATTTAAAATTAATACATTGTTACTTTATAAAGGTTAAATCACTATGCTTATTTTCTTCTGATATATTCTGATATTGTAAAAATTATATATTGGCTTTGAAAAATGATTACTTGACTAATTCATTTAATTAAAATCAATATACTTGGATTTCAGCCACAGGGTAAAAATTCTTTGTGGGAAAAACAAACATTTAATCACACACATATATACACACACACATATATATATATACATACTCAGTAAAAAATAACCAAACAAAAAAAGTCACAAGGAAGATGAATCAGAATTAAACATGTCAATAAGGTAACATGTGGTGTAAAAATGAAATAGTAGTAATAAGCTATACAATCAATGAGATAATTAAAGAGAGAAACATTACAGTGTAAAAAAAAAATGACTAGTTGGGGTTAGTGGTGCATGCCTTAATCCCAGAACTCTGGGAGGCTGAGGCAGGAAGACTACAAATTTGAGCTGTTGGGCAATTTATTGACTCAGTAA